ACGCTCGCGCCTCTCGTTCCCCTTCCTCGTCATAGGGATCTTGGTGTCCTTGACTCCGGCTGCGTCGTTGGCAGTGTCGTCGCGCTTGCGCTCGCCTTGACAACACACGCGTGCTTGTGCCACCTTTTCCTGGCTGAGTTGGCGACCCTTTTGTCGCTGCCATCGCCATGAACTCCATCAACACCGGTACCCCCGAAGTTGCTGCACCCATCACCATGAGCGCCAAGGAGGCTGCCGCTGCCGCTCCGGCCATCGATGAGCTTTCATGGGAGCTCAACACCCTGGCCTTGAAAAAGGACGACCAAGCCCAATTGGCAGCCTCCATGCTCATCCATGCAGGCATTTGTGATATCTTCCGCGTTGAAGAAGCCGACGTGCACCACCTCGTCGCCGAGGTCATGAGCAAATACAACGAGACCACCTTCCACAACTTTGCCCATGCCGTCTCCGTCATGCACACCCTCTACCTTCTCTTCAAGGATGTGCGTCTTCCAACCCCAGCCGCACGCCGCTGTCAATCAGGCTCAAGCGCCACACCGCTCACCTCTCCGCTCGCCTCTCCGCTTTTGTATTACATCCTTGGACGGTTTCATAGATCAAGGGCTGCTGGGAACCCTTTGAGGTTGTCACCCTCCTCATTGCTGCCCTCTGCCACGACATTGATCATCAAGGCCTTTCCAACTCATACTACCAAAACAGCAAGAAGGCCATCGGCGCACACTGTACGAGATGACACCTCTGCCTCGGCCGACTCGGCCTTGCCGAAATCACTCCTGGACCTCACAGCCGCTTGTGCTTTCTTTGTCATTTTAGACGATGAGAACATCCTGGAGCGCCACCACATCGCCACCACAATGTCCATCCTCACCGAGGGCCGCAGTGTTCTCAGCGTGCTCTCCGAGGCCGAGCGGGCTCGCTTTGACGATCTGGTCGAGTTTGCCATCCTCGGCACGGACATGAGCTTTCACGGCACTCAACTCAAGTTTCTGGTACGGATCTCACCGCATCTCTTTCCGCAAGCCACTCCCACCCCGCCACCCCCCTTTGTGTGGCCACCAAGTCTCATTTTCTCTTTTCCTCTTCTCTTCGTCTTTTCCCACGTGAATTAGCAAGAAGAGTACAAGGATGGACCCCAGGATCTCGAGGCTCTGAAGACAGACCCGGCAAAGCGCAAGAAGCTTATGCAAAGCCTTTTGCACACCGCCGATCTCTACAACCCCATCAAGCCCTTTGATGTCACACGCGAATGGGCCATTCGTCTGCAAACCGAGTTCAACCAACAGGTGCGTCCTCTGTCCTCACCTATCTACCCATTGTTGCCTTTTTGCGGCCTGTATATCTTGTCCTCATCCCGGGGTGCAAATCGTTCCAAAATCCACTCTAGTGCGACCTGGAGCGCCAAGAAGGCCTGCCTGTGCTGCCTTTCATGGATGGCCGTGGCGAGACAGCTCTGGCCAAGGGCGAGACGGGCTTTATCAGCTTCGTCGCCAAGCCCTGGTGGGAGGCCATTGCAGCCGCCTTCCCCGTCGTCAAGCCCCATCTCGATACCATCACCAACAACGTGGAAGCATGGAAGTCTTTGATTCCCACGGAGCCAGACACTGCCAAGTAGCTCTGCTGAGGGACGCTGTTCTAGTTCCCTTTGTCGTGCTTCCGTGCTGGTGGCTCAGCCTGCCTTTATCGTGTGCCTTTTTCCTCCATGCCAGTTACCCTGTCCGACTTGTTGTGCATCCATGTTTATGTCCCATGTGATGGGCACCTCTCCCGTCATGCGGGGCAAACAAGGCGTGTCGAGTCTGTCAACCTCGTCTCCCTTATCAACCCGCGCTGTTCACAGCGCCTGAATGAATCAGAATCCAAAGAGTACGCCGGCGCTTTGGCTGAGTGTGGCACTTTTTGGACTTGACCTTGTAACTTGTTCGTCCATGTGCAACTTGCCATCTCCTTTTCTTTGACCTTTGCCTTTGTGATAATGCAAGTCCACTGCAATAACTCATGCAGCGGCTCCCGCCGATCCTGTCCCAGTACCGGCTGCGTGACATGCATCTAACCCACTTTTCCACAAATTTAATCGCTGCTTTTCCTTCGTTCATCGAGAGTGTTCTCGCTCCATGCACACCATGAATTTTGTCTTTTTGGCAGTCAGAAAATCAGGCTTCAGATAAAAGTTTATTCTCGATGGCCTTCGTAATTGCCACACCACCAGTCTCGGCGTACGGACCCACAGCACGACCTGGCCGTTCAAAGAAAGAGGCATGCGGCAATGTAGCAAACGTGAGAAGCTTATGCAGCGGGGCTTGGTGCTTGCTTGCCATGCTGCAGGCACTCACCAGATCTCAGCACCGTTTTGCTGTTGAAACTGACCAATGCACCCTTGACCCTGCGCCAGTCACATCAACTCCGGCTCAATAGCACGCCGGAAAAAAGCAGCTGCGCAACTTACAGTACACAACCAAACATAGAGTCCCGCACCAACCTTCTTCCCACAAGTTCGCACACCAGAACAGGTATTCATTGTGTGAGAGCGGCGTTGCCGCTCAGCGCGCGATTGTCCCAATGCTACAACTCGTGGTTGACCTACCGGGGCCCGAAAACACCCATCCGCGGTGCGGCACTTGTGAGAGAAACAACAATGGGCAGAAAACATTCCCATCGCCCAGTTGCCAACCCACCTTTTCGCACACGTTCCTCGACTTGATCTGCAAATGCCGCAAGCGATGATCTGAACGAGTCAAAGTCTTCACGATCATCAGGGCCCACCGGGCCTTGGAATTCAGAACACCAGCTGCCTTTGTCTGAGCTGCCGCAGCCACAGCCGTCCCACTCCCATCCAGTGATGCCGGTGTGATATCGCCTTTCCACCCAGGTACCGCGACCATGCTCATGCCTGTTGTTTGCACAGTCCAGTGAACCTCAAGAACGTTTGATTTTGAGCCCATGTCACCCAGGCTGCGATAAGATTAAGGTGTCTCACGCACGAGAGGCGACGTCGATCCTCCAGAGTACGGCCCTGTGCAATCACCCTGGGCATTCCCTACACACATGGCGAAATGATCTTGAGCCTCGCGTACAGCGGTACAGATGAACCTCAGAGAGTTTATGGCCCACCAGTGCCCAGCACTTGATCAGCAGCGCTTGGAGACCCACCGCTCTCAGTCGCTCCGCGAGGGCGGATTGATAAGCATGTTCCTCTTGTTGTTGCCGGTCCTCTTCCAAACGCGTGGCCTACCAACATCCGAGTGCTCAAAATGAGCCTTGTCGCGTGGGGCGATGATCTTGCAGCCAAAGGGCGGGGGCGGTTTGGTGCAACAGACCCGTAGCTTCCTCTCCAGCGCCTCCCGCCGAATTTCCTCTTGTGCTGCCTCACGCTGCACGAATGTGTGAGGAGTACATCGTCCGGGACAAGCTATCCCTCGATTTCACTCTTGGCCGAGGAGATGGCAAAGCAAACCAACCTCGCGTTGAATTTGACGCTCACGTTCAGCCAATGACAAGTTGCGTTCATAGTCTCGTTTTTCCTAAAGTCACCAGCACAGGACAGCACAGCTGCATGTGAGAAAGTACCAACCTCCCCTAGCATGAAAGGGTGATGCAACTTACGCGCTCCCGTTCCTCCTTCTCCCGCAGCCGTCGCAACGTGGCGGATTCGTATTCGGACCGATCACTACACCGGTCACACGTAGCCAACAGGTGCATCAGGCGCCCAGTGCGCGCCCGTAAGACCATGTTCATCCTCTTGCATTGCAGAAGGAACAAACCTCGTGACGTTTTGCACATGACCGTTGAACATTTTCTTGAGCTGCTGTAAATCCGAAGCTGCCTGCACGTATGGGGTCACGTGGCCAAGGACGCTTTAAACATGAGTGGCCGCCGAGCATCATCAAATCAAACTGCCAGCATGGGGCTGACCTGGGTCGGTGCTCGATCACGCAACTGCATACTGCCCTCCTCACGTCGACTCGAGTCGAAACGATCTGCCAGCCGCCCACCCTTGAGTGTCTGTAGCTTCTGGCGCTACACATGTCTCCCGCCCAGGACCGACGAGGGCGAGAGCGTGAGGTGCCATACTACGCTGCGTTTGATGCGACGAATGGATGCCCAAAGGAAGTCTGGCATACCAGCTTATCCTCGTTGCTTGCCACGGAGACATGGGGGTTCAGCACGGCAGGCTTATTTGCAGCCACCTCGCGATGCGCGGAGCGATGCATGAAGCACTCTGCGCATTGCTGTGGTCTCAGCACCTGCGGTGTAAACGATTCGCACACCATGCCTGCAACTATTACGGTCCAGACAGCATTGAACGTCGTCCGGCTTCAGCAGCGGCTGCTTCGTTTCAATCAATCGGGAGCGATTGGGGGATGGTGCTTATCAGATCATCAAAATTGATTCATGTCAAGCTTCTTTGTGGTTCTGGCGTCGCGTGGTGCATGGCGCACAGTCTGCGAGCTCACTTTGCTCTCAGCATCGGTAAGCAATGCATGGATACGTGCATACATGCATGCAGAACATAGGTCAACTTTGCTTGATTGTGAAGAAGAAGAAGATGAAAGCATGAACGAACAAAGAGATAACAAAGATGCGGGGGCGGGACGAAGACGATTGGAAATGGCGACACGCTGTGTGACTCAAGACAGAGCTGAGGGTTGGATGAGTTAGCAAGCACTGCCGTCTACGTTCTGAACCGATGCCTCGCCCTATTGAGCCCACGCAAGGACCGTCAGAGCAGAGCGAGGGTGTCAGTTCAGCGTTCGACAAATAATTGCCAATTGGCAAATCCGAGTCGACGCGCCGCACCTGATATTTGGGGTCGGATTCGCGCAGGGTGCCCTCGAGCACACGGATCAATCGGTTTGCATTGGCCCACTCGCACGTTCTGAACCAGGCGCGCCACGGAAGAAAAAGAAAAAGAAAAAGGTGAGGTCGAGCGAAAACACAACGCATGGACCCCACGATTAGTGACTGACTTGGGCTTGCGCAGCTTAAAGTCTGTCTCCGACTTGAGCTGGCTAAAGGGTGTGGCTACTTCAAATCGGTCCTTGATGCCAATGACGCAGGCAGAGTCGTTGGTGCAAGTCTTGACCTAATTGGCGCGACACGTGTGGCGTGACCCCACAGGCAGCCGTCGCTTCTCGATTCCCTTTGCCCCAACCGCGGTCGAAAGCCAGTGCTTGCAATTGGTTTGTGCGCCAAAAAGTTCTCACCTTGGTACCATTCCAGCCCTCGGTCATGTGATGAATCAAAAAGCGTGTGCAGACAGCGCCCAAGCGAGCCCCGCGCAGGCGATCTAGTGGCGAGGGGCTGCCACCCTAGAAGCGTTGTATCAGAGCACACAGACAGGTGTCACCGCGTTTCATCTCCAGCCAGCCTCTCAGAAACGTGGTGTGAACGATGGGAGACGGGCTTTTGGATACCTGAAGCAGATGCCCAAGCACAAGGTCTCGGCAGGTAAACTGGACCTGAGCTGGGCGAGTCTCATCGAAACTGCCTTCTTCCGTGAACACTGTGCGCACCATCCGTCAAGCGACATGGTCAGAGGGCCTGTCCAACAGGGTTGATCGTCTGGCAAAACACAACGAGAGCGCTTGGTTAGTTGGCAGCCCGTGCGTACGCACGTGATTTGAGGAAGGCCATGTCGTAGTTCTTGCTACTGTTCTCGTTGCGCACAATGACGGCGCAATGAAATTCCTGTTGCACAGGACAAGATTGAATAAAAGCAGTCAAGAAACAAAAGCAAGGCACGAGGAAAGAGGAATGAAGTGCAGTGTCATTTCGCGGCTGGGGTGAAGAATTTGACCATGTCGCACCTCAAACTTGCGGCGGAAAATATCAACATCCTCAATCAGATCATCAATGCGCAAGCGCTCCTCGTACAAGTAGGCCGCTAGTCAAGACCAACAGACCAAGTGGTAGGGACAAGCAAAAATGCCATTATCGCACAACGGGCCCAAAAAACGACGATGGAAGCGACGACAACCAGCACGCACCATCAGCAGCACCGGCAAGAGCACCCATCGAGGCCAAATAGCCACAGTACGCTCCCTGGGTTTCAACAATGAAAAGGCGCCTACGGTCCAGGTGTAGACAAAGCATCAGCATGCACGGGGCAACAACGGAATGTCCTAGGAGGTATAATCAATCAAACACGGCTAGTCTTGAAGCGCAAGAAAGGAGCACGTACTTGCGCGATGACAGTGCTGATTGCTTGAGGCGGTCAATGGCGTCCACAATAGTGTTGAGGGCCGTATCCGAGCCGAGCGAGAGAGAGGTGCCAGGCACGTTGTTGCTAAGAAGATTCGAGCGCACAAGCGGGCATGAGATGCCGTTGACTGGGCTCTACACCTCCGCTAGTTTTAGGGCTTCGCAGCATCTCGTTGTGTTCAAACAGCCATCAGACAGACACCCCTGGGAAAAATATACCTGATGGTGGCGGGCACGAGAGAGATGGGGATGCAGAATTCCTCATGCTGATCGCGCGCATCCACGAGTTGACCAAGCGCAGTATAGGCTTCAAAACCACCCACGGCCATGATGCCCTAAGAGAGAACGGTTTGATCAACATGAAAATGCGACCAAGTTCATCGGAGCAAATGGGATTGAGGTATAGGGGTAGGTAGCACTGTGCGGGCTGAGCCATACGTGGATATTGTAGGTGCGCAGCTGTTCGGCGATACGGGCCATGCCATTGGTCATCTCGCTAAGCAAAAGGGATATAGACGTGAGGGCCTACGCAAAGACTCAGACGCACGTCGAACAACGTGCACGGCGCGACACATACTCGGGCATTGTGCGGTTGGTGCCGAGGGCAGCACCGCCCTTGCTGGCCCAGCTAGCCAAAGCAAGCCATCGGGAGACACAGTGAGGCCCGGGGCTATCGGAGCGAGTTCCAGCGCTTGATTCGACGGGTCTGGCCGATGACTGCGCAAAGCCTTACCCCTTGACATGATCCCAGCGCAGCTCCATCAGATCACCGTTGGCAATACTACATCACAAGCGAAGAAAAGTGAGCAGGGAGTGCAATCGAGCTTGCGAACAAACATACGACGCGCGGCAAGCGACACGTATACCCACCCTTCAAGGGCACCAACGGCGCCATAAACCTTGTGACCGCCATTGATGAGGTCCCGCACAACGGCCTTGCAAGCGGCATTCATGCCTGCAGCTGGGGCTCCCATTTGCATCACGAGCACGTTGAACGGCGTCTATAGATCGCACAACGAGGCGGCAAGATACCCTTTAAGTAAATCAAAGACGCCAATCAACACCGGCGCCGCATTGTAACCGCAAATGCTCGATCAGAATGTGACACAATGAGAAAAAAAAAAAAAAAAAAAAAAAAAAAAAAAAAGCTTGTTTTGTTGTGAGGAATCAAGTCCTGGCAACCGAGCACGCGAGGGTTCAAGCCTGAAACCAAGGGTACCTCGGGCGCTTCATCTTGGTGATGTTGGCGAATCCGGAAAAAGAGGTTGAGCTCCTCGCGGAAAGCACGGCCACGTAGCTCCATGACGCGGTCATAGTCCTTGGCTTCCAAGGCCGCACCGACCTGTTTGAAAAAAAAGGGGGGGGGGTGGAAGAGAGTGAGCATTAACGCAGCGCGAGGGACCGCCTCGCAGGGCAGATGCAATGGGCAGTCGGATTGTGAGCAAGGCTGACCTCTCGCGTACGCTCCACCGCCTCGGTCAGATCCACCTAGCCGCAGACAGCGTGCACGGCGGTGAGCCAATAGCAAAGAAGCGCAATGCTCAACGGACGGGGACTTTGGGAAGCGGAGGAGGGAACTTGATGATCGGAAGTTGCGGTCACTTGTACACGAGACAAAGGCAGCAGGCACATACCTGAATCATTTGAGTCCAACGAGTCCCGACAATGCGAGCCGGTGTGTCGTGGGTGGCGTTGAGGACGGCCAATGCTGCCTCGGCACCGCAGCGTGTGGCAAGGATGCGGTCGTAGACGGAAGGTGCACCGCCACGCTGCACGTGTCCCAGGGTGGTGACACGGGTGTCATACCCAAGCCGTTCGGAGCACACCTTCTTGACGTATTCGCCTGAGATGTGGTTGCGGTGCTTGTCAGTCGCACCTTCAGCCAGCACGATGAGGCTGAAATTGGTGTAGCGGCGGCGGCGCTTGAGCGAGTCACACATGGCTGCCTCCCAGTCGTCGGCCTCCGGGGGGTGCTCAGGCAACAGCACATAGTCAGCCCCACAGGTCAGGGCGGCCATCAAAGCCAGAAAACCGCAGTTACGTCCCATCACTTCGATGATAAAGGTGCGCTGATGCGACTGCGCCGTCCTGTTGCAATCCCGTGTCACAGTTAAAAAACAAAAAACAAAAATAAAAGCTTGAGCTCAGGGTGACTGCTGTCAGATGGCATCAAAGAGTGGGCCAAGAGCAAACAGTCGAAGCGGGCGCTGCTCGAATCAGCGTTGGAGAAGCCATCAACAGAGTAGGTGGGAGCATGGTTGAGGCCCTTACGTGGTGAGGGCATCGATGGCTTCACAGATGCGATTGAGGGCTGAGTCACAGCCAATGGTCATTGAAAAGCCGCACATGTCATTATCAATGGAGCCGACCTGCGTCCAGCGCGCGGTATTGATGAGTGAGAGCCGGCCTGAATCTGTCATCTGTGCAGGCAAGGAGATGACAGGCAGCCTTTGGCGCACGGTTGAGAACGGTACACAGCGTGTATGACCTACCATGCCAACCACAGAAAGGTATTCGTGCTTGGCATGAGCTTCTTCCGAGATCTGACCGCTGGCCTGCAGCTCCCGGAGAAGACTGGGCCACTCTTGCTTGAACATGTTGGCACCGGTCAGGGTGCCATCACCACCAATGGCAATCTGGACGGGAGGAGACAGCGCAAACCAGAAACGCATGAGCAGGCGTGAGTGGAGAGAATAGAGAGACGCGTGACACCGCAAAGCGCATCGAGAACACACCAGGCAATCGATGTCGTTCTTGACCAGGTTGAAGGCGGCCTTGAGACGGCCCTCGTGCGTGCGGAAGTCTTGGCATCGCGCTGACCCAATGACGGTACCACCCTTGAAGAACGAGGCCGTGAGATGCAGGAAAGGCGGCATAAATGTTTTTAAAAAAATAAGGAAAAAAAAACCGCCAAGGAAAAAAAAAAAAAGTCAAGGATGCTTTGGGGACTGCGACGTACAATCTGCGAGATGTTGCTAATGTCCTTCCAGTCCAGCTTTTTTATGTTTTCGCCGCCATCGACCATGCCTTGATACCCCTGATGCACGTCAAGGCCAGGGTGTTGGGTTGTGAGTGAAATCTCAAGTGATGAACAAGGGGGGGCGGGGCAGGGCACGACTCACGTAGTAGATGGCGTAGACGCTAACGCCGTAGGTGAGGCAGGTAGCAGCAGCAGCACGAACTGCCGCATTCATGCCTTGGGCATCACCACCTGGCGCAGACATTTGTAGTGTGAGCAGGAATTAGTGACATGTATTCCACGGGCTGGAGACAGGGAGAGCACAGACCCGAGGTGAAGATGGCAACGTTTTTGCTGTTTTCACTGGCTGGAATCTTTGGCCAAGGATTGGCCCATTCCTGGCACACGCACGGTGGCACGGTGGGATCAGCCAAGGCGAATTCAACAGGCAGACCTGCGGATGGAGCTCACAGGGCGGCTTGGCTTACTTTCTCGTCGGCGGTGAGGTGATGCAAGGGCACGGGGGTACGCGGCAGTTCACCCGGGTGTTGGTTGCGGTGTGTCACGCCCAGCGGCACAAAGGCATTGGCCGCCGAAAGACAGACTGTACCAAATCGGCGAGCGCTTGAGGTGAGCACGAGCAGGACGTGCGGCGTGACCGCCTCCCTGCACGGGGCTTTCACTGACCTGAGGATGAGGGAGAAGCCATCGTGTACGGCAACGACAAGTCTAACCAGGACGGAGCCAGAGAGCATATGGAGATGAGTCAACCTCAAGGCACGAGGGCACGCATGCACGCAGGCGGCGCTGCCGTTTCTTGCCTCAAAACTTACTCGCGACCCACTAGCACAGACACATTAAGCAAAAAAAAAATGCCATGTCGTCGTCTCTGGCTGAGGTCAAGGTTGGGAGTGCATCCCTGAAAGATTGAATAAGTCGACAAAAATCTCTGATTTTGCTTGCTTCAAGCTGTAGGGCATCATTATCACGACGTTCTTCTCTGAGAACGCCGTGACTTTGACATCACCCTCTTCAAATCTGCAGCTTGTCAATGCTCCCTCTCCAACAAAGCGGGCTGTTGTCAATCAGATTCTTCCTCTTGCGTCATCCAGTTTTATCTTCTATTTTTACTGCAGCTTGCATCAAGCCCACACACAACACACACACACACGCACACAAAGCGCACACTGTGTGGCGAATCGGGAGCGTTCACTGGTTTCGCGTTTCTCAAGCATTGTCATCATTTTCGTGTCGGTTCAGGGGGCAGATCGGCATCGGGGCTGATGGACTACGAGCAGATTGGTTATGGCTTGGTGTGGCGGCCAGAGGGGGCGCTGGCGGAGCAGGTCGTAGTCGATCCTGCAAGCTGTCTCAGCTGTGTCCTTTCTCGTGCCCATCTCAGGTACGAGGGTTGTCCACTAGACTAGGGTTCTTCCAACCGGCTCACAGCGCCGCCTGCCTGTCGTTCCTCTGTCTCACCCCCCTGTCTCAGGGATGCTGGCCCGCGCCAAACGCGCCGCTTCAAGCGCCAATACCGGCGACTCGTCGAGCAGCAGAATGATCAAGCAGACGGCCCCAAACAGCATGTGACGCCGGACACAACGTCCACCGCATTGGCTGCTGAGCCTCAGCCGGAGGAAAACATGCAAAGAGAACCAAGGCAACTTGCAGCAAGCCTGGCCGAGGCAAAGTGTTCTAACACCACTGTCCAACCAACTTTTGACGATGCGGTCATTCAAGCTTACGTCTCCGAAGCTTTGCGCCCCAAAAAGCGGCCGCGGCGGCTCGATACCTCCAGCACGGCTGAAGGGTTAGACAGGCCCGTTGCCGCTGAAACCGATGCGGACGTTGCTCATGACGACGATGTGGCGGAGCAAGGAGACTCGGGTAGCGAGACGCCGCTCGATAAGAAATTGATGGCAGAGATGGGCTTACCATCCAGCTTCAGCAAGAACGCGAGCTCTCAAGACCAGGGCCCGACTCAGAAAGGGCGGCGCAAGCGACGAGTGCGAGACGCGTTGGATGCCGAAGAAGCGGAGCAACCAAATGATGTAGTGGCGGTTGCGTCGAGTTGGCAACTGCTGGCGCGACATGACGACCCAGCTTGGTTGGCACACTGGGCCCATGCACAGAACATTGAGACCGATGCCCAAGACGAGGCGGCGACCCAGCTTGCATATTGGCGTGCCTTTTGTGCCTACTGGCAGCAGCGCTGGCAAGTAGAGTGTGAACCGCGACTCTTGAGGACCTATGTTGAGCGGGTGCGGTCTTCGCTGCCGCATGCGCACACGGGCGAAGACCAGGGGCGACTCGCCCCGGACCAAGACGCCTTGGTCGGCGTAGAGGCCAGCTTTTTGTGGGCCAAGCTCATGTACGGAGCTCTTCTACGCCAGCCCAAAGCGGGGGGCTTTGCCCAGAACGAAGCCACCTACTGGCGCCTGCGCCCCGGACAGTATCGCGCTTATGCACTCGATGGCACCATGGATAACTTTGTCAATGCCTTGACCGCTCAGGCACCAGGTGGCCCCGAAAACGGTTCTGACCACGACGATGCCGACGAATTATGCGAGGAGCAAGCCGGCGCCGACGGATCGGATCATCAAGGTAGCCAAGATGCCCCGTCTCACGACGACCGACCTGATAACGCGCCGGCTCCGTGGCTGCAAACGGGGGCCGACTTGGACGCGGCTGGACTCTCGGGGAAGTACTGGGCTCAACGATACCGTTTATTCAGCCGATATGACGAGGTCTGTGTTGTCTCAATGTGCCAGGTGTTCGACCTGCTCCATGCTAGGCGGACGCTCGTTCATTACTGTAAATCGGTGGCACTAGGGCGTATGGTTGGACCGTGACTCGTGGTTCTCTGCTACCCCCGAGGTGCTGGCCATGCACCATGCCCTGCGTGTGAGCGGTACGATTGGCGGACCACCTGGGTGTGAATCTAATGCCAGGATGACGGGATGGCGAGTGTTTGGGTCGTATTTCGGGGGTCTGATGGGAATAGGCATTGGTCTTTTGACTCATGACGGGCCCTGGTTTGCTGGTCTGGGCTTGGTAGCGGTGGGTCCCATGGTTATAGATGCGTTTTGTGGACCTGGTGCCAATGCAATTCAGATGGCCTTGGCAGGGTGCCAGGTGCTGGCCATTGATCTTGACCCGGTCAAACTGGAGGCGGCACGGCACAACGCAAGTATCTATGGGGTTGAGGATCAGATTGACTTTGTGCACGGGGACGCTGTGAGCGTGTTGCGCCAGTTGGCGAGCACGAACGGGTCAACCCGGGTGGATGCCGTCTTTCTCAGTCCACCATGGGGTGGCCAATCCTATCTGGCTGCGCATCAACCCTTTGACTTGGCGGTCATCGAGCCTAGCGTGTCGCGTACGCTAGCAGCCGCCCAAGGCCTGACGCGCAACGTGGGCATTTTTCTACCACGCAAAATCTTGGTGCAGGACGTCCTGGCCTTGGTGGGCGCAGGCGAGCATGTCGAGATTGAACAGAACGTCATCAATGAAAAGATCAAATCCTTGACCGTCTACCTAGGCGACCTCGCTGATCTCGGCGGCCAAGTCTAACCCATGAAGGCCCCTTCCTACGCCCAGAGAGCTGTGTGAAAACCCGACTAAAGTTGTCATCAACAATGCTACCAAGCGTTTCTGTTTTTCCTCCACAGCAAGCAAAAACACACACCACAACAGCAAAAGAGGACCCGCTTCTAAATTTAGAACAATCGGCTCAAAAAAAAAAAAGCCAGCCACTCGCGTGTATGACGACGATCGACGAACAATCGCGCGTCAAGCGGACATGACGTGCACAGGGCAGCCAGCTCCGGGTTGGCCAGGGGCATACATTCAGCTGTGCGATGATTTACGAATGCGTCACAGCATGATCGCCTCTGCGTTTGAGCGGGATCGGCTTCTTGCCTCTTGATAGCTCGGCGTGCTGGACCTTGCTATGGGTCGTGCATGGGAAAACAGGACACTGGTTGAATTTGACGACGGACCTTTCCCCCGCCCTGCTCATTTGAAATTCACACCCTCTCTGCTTGATCCCTTGATAAGATGTGCGGCGTTTGTTCTTCTTGGGCCTTGGCGCGCCTTACGTGTGCCATGGGGTCACTCACAACTCCGGCCGTAGCGCCCCGCCCCCCTCCCTGGTTTGGACCAGTGCCTGGACGTCAATTTGCATTTGCAAACGTCCATCTCGCTGCCACTTGACCTCATTTTCCTGCTCCACAGAGACCAAGCTTGCGTCTTTGCCCGTCCCATCTCCCATTCCGCTTGGTGTCTGTCTGCTTGCTGTCGGCTGTTTCCCCTCTTGACACTTTTCTTCTCTCTCTGTCAAACGTGACAAGCACACACACACACACACGCGCGCGCGTGCGTGTTTTCTTTTGTTGTTGAAGACGCAAAACACATTTACAACGCAACGACAGAGAGAAAGAAGAGAGAGAGAGAGAGAGAAAGCGGAAAGGAGAGAGAGAGAGAGAGAGAGAGAGAGAGAGAGAGAGAGAGAGAGAGAGAGAGAGAGAGAGAGAGAGAGAGAGAGAGAGAGAGAGAGAGAGAGAGAGAGAGAGAATGAATTGGTTTGGTCGTTGACAGAGAGAGACAGAGAGAGAGAGAGAGAGAGAAGAGTGAGAGAGAGACAGAGAAAGAGTTTGTTGTGTGTTATTTTTTTCATCATCCAGACGGAGAGAGTCAGCGTCGGTTGGCTGTTGCGAGGGCCGCTTGAGCGACTGGATTGCGCGCGCTGGCGCTTGGCCTGACGCGTTTTTTTTTTATATTGTTGGAGACCGTGGCCGGTGAGGTCGACGGGTGATGACCTGTCTAGGCGCTTGGGTACTCGGCAAGGTCGAGATCACTGCCATTTTTTTTTTTTTTTTTGGCTCACGGGCGTTTGTCACATGCTAGGTCCTCCTCCTATATCGGCGACATGGTGCGCAAAATCGTGCTCGTGCTACTGGCACTGAGCAGTCTTCTGGCCACCCCGACTGAGGGGGCATTCAAGTCGAAGAGCCTGCTTGTCAACTCGCACCTCGAAATCACACCCGACTCGTTTGAACTCAAAGGTTGGACGCCCAGCACCAACGACGAGTACAACTTTTACCAACAATATGTGGATGACAAGGGCCAGGTCGTCCAAGGCCCCACCAACACCACAATCCTCTTCAGCGAGCGGCCCGGGGCCAATCTTACCCAGCGCGTCGTCCTTGATGTCACCGAAGACGTCGCGACCGCCTACTTTGATCTCAAAATCGTGCTCGCCAAGATGGAAATGACCTGCAATAACCAGGATTTTATGGTGCACGTCTGGCACGTTGAGCCACAAACCAACAACTACACGGCCAGCCTTTTGCAAAGCTCTGTCAGGGCCGATGGAATTTCGGGCACCTCATTGACCCGAACCATCAACCTGACCGGCACAGAACCATATTACACCGTCGATGTCGTCTTTATCTTTGCCGATCCTTGCTTGGCCCTGCAAATGGCCGATCTACGCTACAATTACGAACCCATGAGCGATCGCCCCTTGAGCACCACGCCCGAGACAACCAGCAGCACCAGCAAGACTTTCGGTCCCCCTGCTTGGTGTCTTGAAGCTGGCACTCAATCAAAAATCAACGTCACTCTTCCCGATCTTTCCCGACTCTCCACCTGGTCCTACCTAGGTACCTTTGACACCTTTTCCCAATGCGTTCTCGAGCGCGTCACCTGGGCCGATGACGATCGTGATATTCGCACTGGTACGTGTGCTGCTGCACTTATAGCCCGGCGCTGTTTCGTTCGATTTTGTTCGGTTATCTGGTTCGCGTCGCAACCATCTTGCACCACTCATCGGCGCCCGCGATCACTCCCATCGCCAACCGCCAACCCGCCCGTGTCGCGTTGACCCCGTAGCAAGCCCATCAGAGCCCGCCATTGACTTTTTCTTCCTTCAGTATGGCAACCTTTACTTCAATGCATCGAGTCTTGCCGTGGATCAACAACTCCAGGCGCTCCAAGCACACGACAACACCATTTATGTCCAGGTACTCTTGCCCCACGCCACAATCTTCTTTGGTTTCACCAGAGCCAGTCAAGCTCGCTTGTGCCCACGACAAGACAGATACAAAAAAAGAAACACATTACCGCCATTCAAAATGAATCAAATCCGAGACGCTTTGCTCATCCGGACGCCGCTGCCCATAGGGTTCGTGTTTTCAAGAAACCCGCTGTATCGTCATCACCTTGAACACCTCTGTCGTGCCTACATGCGAGGATGCCACCTGCCAAGCCTACTCGCGGTATGTTCATGTTTGGGCACCGTTCTCCACCCAACCCTGGCCACACGTTGATGCTTGCTCGTGCCTTGCGGAATGCCATCACTGCTCAGTCTCATCCATGTTGTTCGCGGCGGGCCCATGTCTTGGCCTGTCTTGGCCTGTCCAGGCTGGGCTGTGAGGCCAACGGCCTCTCTTGCGGTGCCTGCACCACCGGTATCGTCACAGTGCTTGCTCTCGCCCCAACCTGTCCAAGGTTGCACTCCTGGAGTTGGCTCAACACACTCTCTTTTCTCTGGCGCGGCACCTAATTTGTATCCCTCCTAGGCAAGTTTAGCGTGGCCGACTCACCCTTCTACGATCGCGAGGACGTTGGCGACGACCTGTTCTGCGTATCACCGGCCAAGATGTATCCCCTGGACGCTGTTGTTGCGGCTGGGCGCTCCGTTGCCTGTCAGTTGCTGCAGCACGTGCTAGGCACTCCGTTGTCCCCGCTCGTCCACGCCCTCGTCAACACACACCTATTGATCGCTCGACCCCTCGCAATGCAACTCACCCTTTGTTGTACCCTCGCTTCGACCCCCGCCCATCTTGATTCAGGGTTTGATTATACCGGTCATCGCCGAGTGGCGAGCGATGATCAAGGCGATGACTATGATCGCCCCACTCCGGGCAGGGAGTTCTTCGTGACAAATCGTACCTGCCCCAGCAACATGGACCTGGACTCGCCCGACACCTACGGCAACCTCTATCTCTTCCTGACCTTTCGCATTTCGGCTTTGACCAACCCTTCAAGCATCAAATCGGCCGCTCTACAGCTTTACAATCCCAGCACCTCCCAATATCAGGGCGAAAATTCTCTCAGCTTTAAAATGGCCGGGGCCAGCCGGCGTTTGGACTGTGGCGGGTTGCCTACGCCAATCACTGTGGATGACACCTGGTCGTGCAGCTTTTACGTATGTCCCTTTTTTTTTTAACCCATCAGTCGCAGGAATCACCACTTGCCACTCGCCACTCGCCACACCTTCACCTTGGCCCAAACATATGCTTGCTGCCCTCCTCTTCCCCTGATTTGGCCTTTCATCTTCCTCCACACATTTAGCAAGAAACCGGTGAAGAAGCGCTATACTTTTGCGATGGCCTGGAAAGGGCTCTGCGTCACGCCATTGAGCAGGACCATGACTACTTTCTCATTGGCATCTCCAACTTTTACTCCATGAATGGCTACATCCCCCTGACTGGCGTTCAGCGTCCTCAGTTGTGGCTCCATGTAAGTCCCAAATCTGGCTTGGCTTCATTCTTCGCCTTGAGTACCCTGAGCACCCTCTCACGCCCCACGTTGCATTTGTAGAACACCGCAAGCTGCACCCGAACGATGCAATCTGTCGGGACGTGCACGCGCGATTGTGGAGGCGGTACTCAAGCCGTGTCCTACACACAATCCGCCCCGGTAGAGTAACGCATCTCAAAAGTATTTGCTCCTGGTCAGGCAGAACCCACGCCTTTGAAGCTCATTCCTCCTTGTTGCCTCGAACGTTATTGCAACCTGTTGGTAGTCATGCACGCTCCCATCGTTCGACGTGGTGCCATGCAACCAACAAACATGCACAAATGATTATTCTCGACTGGAATTCCACACCATCATTCTTTTTGATTCGATGCCAAACTACGGCTCTGCCAGCGATGTCATGGCCACTATGCAGAGCTTTTTTGCCTTCTTCTTGGAAGACGTGATCGCATATATTGGGTAGGCTTGTGGCTCGTACCCTTCAAGACTGGTTTCTCTCTTTGGCCCCATGCCTGCTCGTCTCTGCTCTGCACTTATGGTTGCCACGTGTTCGCTCGACATCGACAGAGATATCAATATCACCTCTTTTACCAGTTCATCCAAGATAACGGTTCCCTCAAGGGTCGCGAGCCTGTCCGACTTTGAATTGTCGTTTGAGGGTGAGGAAGACACATATGAAGCCACCTATCTCCATCCAACCAACAATGAAACCATCGTTGTGTCGAGTCTGGCTGCCTGTGCCGAAAGCTGCTCCGAGTATTGGTGCCGGGGATTTGTCTACGTGGACTATTCTACCCCCTTTCGGTGCTACCTGCTGCGTCAATTGGAGCCTTTGCAAGGCGAGTTTTACCGCGTTGCCTCCTATAAGAAGGCTGCCAGCCACCCCACTTACGACCTCAACGGTATGTCGTTTGCCTGCCAAATCTTTCTCTGCTGAAAGAACACAGCTGCTCACGTGTTCGCATGTGCCTTGTTTTCCCGCTCCTGGTCTCAATCATGCTCGTTTTTGCCACCGCAGTTGTGTACAACTACACCTTTGGTGTCACGATCTCTTTTGACGATGCCTATGTCACGGCTCGAGGAGTTCTCGACGAGCTGCCAACGCAGCTTTCACAGCTGTCCTACGCTGGATACTTCTATGGTTTGTACCTGGTGTTCGTGTCGACTTGTCTTGTTTGTTCTGGTTGACAACATTCGAGGCTTTCTTGCTCTGTGCCCCTGGTTAATGAATCATGTCGATATCAATGCGTCTCAGATGCCACCGCAGTGAGCTTTACGACAGTGCGAGTATTTCTCGTGCAGTTGCAGACTACCACGACCACCACGACCACGCCCGCGGCTGTGGGTGAATGTACTTGTGCGGCTGTCACGCTGAACGGTGTTCGCTATCCGGCGACCAACTGCGCCACCACTGCTCGCCTAGCATGTCCTGGCTCGGACATGACCGGCTTTGTTACCCGACGATGCGATTCTGCGGTGCGTTGCTCTGTCTCTGGACACCGGCGTTGCTTTTTTGTTTGTTTCAATTTTTTTTTTTTTTCCTCCAGAAACGCTTGGCGTCAGTCAAATGCTGGCCACCTCTTCTTTGAGCCAACTAACAAACCCCCCTTGTCCATGCCTTAATCCATGGTGTTGTCATTGCGTGATGGACTGCTTAGGGTGTGTATCGCGTGCCCGACTTTCGGAATTGTCGGTCATCCGTACTTGAGGCCTTGGAGCAGGTGCCCCGTACCAAGGAAAGCATTTCGCTCGTCGCCTCGGGAGCTCTAGCGACAATGAATAACAGCAAATACTTTGGGGCCGATGACGTCAAGTTTGTGTCCCGAATCATCGGCGAAGGCCTGGAGCTGCTGGGTCAGCTCTATCTGCAAAATAGCACCGAGGCGGACCTTCTTCTCGAAGAGCTGGTCAGCCCGACACTCGAGCTTGCCGGGCGTCTCTTGGAAGCGAGTGGTGAGGTGCAAGAAGAAGCCATGGCTGCGCTTACAAGCGACACCTCTTCGGCCTATATTCCATATGTAAGCACCGTCAAGACATCTTTCTACATGTGCAAGCCCTGTCATTGTTTTCTTCTGATCAACCCTCATTGGCGCACCAATCGTATCGGATGTGCATCTTTAGGCGCTGGAGAATTTGGGCTACTTGCTGCAAGCCCTGTTCGACAATGGCCACAACGCTTCGGTGGCGAGAGAGGATGCCACGTTTCAGTACTCATTTTTCCAGCTGCTCAGCAATCTCAACGATATCTTCACCTTTGGTGACGCTGAGTGCGAGGGCGACGACTGTACTGCGCTGCAGCGCCGCGAGTCGGATGGTGCACAGCGCCGCCGGCGCAACTTGGACGGTGACCAGTACATTGAACTGGATGCAAACCCGGAAGGCGATGAACTGTATATTGCCGTGGCGTATTATTCGTCAGCCCAATATTTCCGGCGCCCGAACGTGGCCTCGGCGCCGCCCGACGAGTTTGAGGACGATGAAGAGGTGCTGGAGAGCAACTACATCAACTCTGGCGTCATCAAGGTGTCGGTCTATGGTAACGGCACCGATTCGGAGAACGCCAACGTTGTGGTTAAGCTGAAAAAGACCAATCCGGACATGGTTGGCCAGTGCGTCTTTTGGCAGTTCGATTCAGAAGCTGGGCTTGGCAAGAATGCCTCAGAAAGCCGGGGCGGTGGTTGGAGCTCGGAAGGATGCGTGATTGTAGAGGATACGAGCACGCACGTGGTGTGCTCCTGCGACCATCTCACCAGCTTTGCTGTCCTGACGTCGCCCGATGCCACCATGTCCAGGGCAGATGCTCTGGCGCTAGAGATCATCACGCTGGTTGGCGTGGTCATTTCAGTCCCTTGCCTTTTGCTGACGTTTATCATCTTTGCTTACTTCCGACGTCTGCGAAACTTAACCCGAGTGATCTTGATGCATCTGTGCCTGAACCTCTCCATCGCACTCCTCATCTTTATCTGCGGTGTCGAGAAGACTGGGGATCCGGACAACTGCACAGGCATTGCCGTGGCCTTGCACTTTTTCATGATGACCTCGGTCTTTTGGATGCTGGCCGAGGGCGTGCAACTCTTCCGCACCTTTGTCGTTGTTTTCGACACGGACAACATGAAATACCACTTGCCCTTTGCCGCCGCCGTGTATGGTGGGGCCGCCGTCGTTGTCATCATCACCGGCATTGCCGTGGGAAACACTGGCTACGGCGACGAAAATTATTGTTGGTTGACAGCCCGGGATGGCGCCATCTGGGCCTTTTTGGTGCCCTTGATTGCGGTCATGCTTGTCAACTTTATCCTCTTTGTTTGCATCATGCGCGAGATTGTTCAAATCGGCCTGCCCGGAGACTCGGACCGCTTGGTCAAGGTGAAGCGCGGCATCAAGGGCACGTTGTCATTCAGCTGCCTGCTTGGCCTTGGCTGGATCTTTGGTGTGGTCGCTATTGAGAACGGCAACGTGGCTTTGCAATATCTCTTTACAATCCTCAACATCTTCCAGGTACGTGCTTATCCCGCCACGCCTGTTTAATGCCGCGCTTGCGACGCCCGGCGCCTCACAATGGTCTTGCCTCCCCCGGCTTTCCCCTGTGGCGTTTTAGGGCCTGTTCATCTTCATCTTCCACGTTGTGCGCAATCGCGCGGTGCGCGAGGCTTTCAAGGGGCGGCAGGCTGGCTACGAGAGCTACAAGAAGGCCACGTCCTCTGGCACGTCGGGCCAGGTCTCGGGCAACACTCATTCCTCAGCCATGTCTGGTGGCAAGCGTGTCTCGGTATGTGATTATGTGTCAGCCCCGTACTCCTTTGATGTTCGATGAACTATCCCTCCAACTCGGGTGCCACGAATCCTCAAACTCGGGTGCCATGGATGATGTAGGAGGATCGCGGGCCGCTGTCGAGCATGAATCCGGAGCCGTCCAACAACTATGAAAACAGCAATGGCTATGCCACCTCGGTACAGCTCTCGGAGTTTTCTGGAACTCCGCATTCACCCGCTACCGTGGCAACCGCAAACACAGGGGAGAGCATTGGTCCAGAACTCAGTCAGCCTGCGCGCAGCAACAATGGCTCCCAACATTTGATGCAAGCAGCCGACCGCAAGAGTGAACAAACAAACAGTCGGGCTTCACTGCCAGGCGATGGCACATCGCCTGTGTCGCGGCGCGACACTGAATACTTGATGACTGACCTGCAGGATGAAGGCGATGAGACGGCGTCGCAAACGGCTGCGCCAGAGCTGTCGCGCCGCGAATCTCTCAAGCTGCCGGGCAAGTCACTTCAGCGCAAGGAAACTTCAAAGAGCTCGCGATCCATTGACTTTTTTGCATCGGGCAACTCATCGGTCACAGAGGCCAACGAAATTCCTCCGCTGCGCATGAGGTGAGTGCATTTGGTGGCTCTACTATCGGTCCAGATGCCCTCCGTGGTATGGTGTGGCGCATGCCACCAGCTTTGTTGCTTCCTCATGGCGCCAACATGTTTGTTTCTTTAGCCGATCGGCCAGCGCCCGCATGGAACGTCGTGGAAGCGATTATTGCGTGACCCTGTTGTAGTGGCACAGCGTGTCACTCTTGATCTTTCTCCTCCATCTGTTGTTTTGTCTTGTCTTGCCCTTGGTTCATTTTGTTGATATTTGACTTTTTCTTGATCCTCTTTGCGTTTTTTTTTCTTCTTCAGCTTGCCCTCTCGGCTCTCTCATGACCTCTCTGTGTTTCATTCAGCTTTGAATTGCGCTTGTTTTCCTCGCCACCTGTCCACACGTTTGCATGCGTGCGTGCGTGCGTGCGTGCTTGTCATGAGTGTGATGCGTGCCACAATATCTCTCTCACGGGCTCTCCCTGACGCCTGCAATGTTGCTTGTGGTTGTGTCTGTTGCCTGTATGGTGTCCACCATCCTCCAAGCCAGGCTTTCTTTGGTCCCAACCCAACGAGTCGACGTCATGGATTGGGTCGCTAGTTTAGCAGATTAAAGGCAGGTCTTGAGCTGAGGTCACGTTTTGATTGAGAAGGCATGATATTTTTAGCACACTTGAGCGGGCATATCTTCACCAGAAATTCCCTTAACGCAATTTTCAGCTGTCATTACGGCCATGATGCTGCGGCATTCGTCCGTCGCACTGCCGATATGTGGCAAAATCACTATCACGCATTCAGAGAGGGAACGCAAGCTCAAGGTCAGGGCACGCCATCCAGCCAGGTCCCCGCGCAGGCCACGCATCATTCAAATGTGAGAAGGGGAGCGGCAAACTGTGACACACCGCAGTTGGGAAGTTTGAAGAGCTCATGATCCGTCGGTAAGGGTTCGGGCGTCGTCACATCAAGGCCGGCCGCCTACGGTCGTAATGCTCTGGGTGAGATCACCAAGATCGTGGGTGCATGCATGCACATTCCAAGCCAATGCGTCAGCACAATACAAGCTGGGAAACTGCCGACCTTGATCTCGCCGGCCTTGAGCGCCTCGACCAGTGCATCCTGGTCCACACAAGCACCACGCGCAGCATTGACCAAAATCGCGGTATTCTTCATCTTCTTGAATGCATCCTGTCGAGCCTGGATCATGAGCTATTCCACCAACGAGGCGGCTGATTTGACATGGAATCGTTGCTCTGGCCCATGCGTACCGCATTGAAGATGTTGGTCGTTTCCGGCGCCAGGGCACAAGTGGCCACCACAATGTCCGCTTCGCGCAGCAAGGTGTCAACGTCCACTGAACACATACACACACACGCAACATGTGAGACCATCAATACATGCGAAACTGGAAAGGAGGCGAAGGTCACGTACCAAACTCGGCTTGAAGTTCCTTGGCATTGGGCTTCTCCGAGCGACCCGAGTAGAGGAGGCGACCAATCTCAAATGCACGCAAGCGCTTGGCGACAGCGCTGCCAATGCGGCCCATGCCCACGATGCCCACTGTCTTGCCAGCCAGTTCAGTGCCACAAAGCCACATTGGCTTCCAAGTGCCCCATCCACCACTGTTGCACATCAGAGATGGACCAGCCACGGTCAAAAAAAAAAAAAAAAAAAAAAAAAAAAAGAAAAAGAAGAGCCAACCCTGAGTTGGCACGCGCTGGACCGATTGGGTTGTGACATACTTCTTGGCTTCGTGCACGGCTTGTGGAATGAGTCGGCATGTGGCAAGGAGAAGGGATAGTGCCAGGTCCGCCTGATGTGACGAAACGAGTCGTGACCATACAAAGCCGAGCGCAAGACAGACGGAGATGAGGGCTAGACCAGTCGCGAAATTGAAGGCCAGCGCTGTACCGCAGCCGTACGGTGGCATTGGTGAGGACACCGGGGGTGTTGCCAATCTTGATGCCACGGGTCTTGCATTCGTCCACGCTATGTATCACAGCCGGTTTGATTAGGACGTCGAGCAGGGGAACTTGCTAGTCATAGTGTTGGCGAATTGCTGAACCAACAGCCACCGTACTCAATGTGATTGAATCCGACAGAGAGTGTGCTGATGCACTTGAGATTGGGGCCGGCGGCCTCAATCACCTCCTTGTCAATCTTGTCCGAGAGCATGCACACGATGCCTGAGGAAAAGTTGAATGCAGCGCAAGTGAGGCACGGGCCTGGGCTCAGACGCCAGGATCTTGAACGCGCGACGTCACAGAACATGGCACGGCCGAAGAAAACTTGGGCATGATGGTCCGCAAGCAAGTGGGGGCCCCAAGAACGGAACAAACGCGGTCGCACGGCTCAAGAGAAAGCTGTTTGTTCATGTTCCCGCCGGTGCGGGAAACACCATCAAGGGACGTTAACGCACCGTGGGCACCTTTAACGGCCTCCAAAAGCTCAGCCCGCGGCATTCCCTGGTCTTGCTCATAAATCACCAGATCGCTTACACTAACAACAATCAGGGTTGAGTTTTCTTCGTAGCACCACCACGGACGAGTAGCAGTGCCCCTGCTCGTCCCACCCCACCCCACGAGGCTTCCGCACACCCAGCCACGTACCGGTTGCGGAGGTACTCCATGCCAGGCGCGTGCATGATGCGGGTGCACACGACCTTGCAGTCCACTTTCTCAGCCATCTTGAAAAGTCTAGCGGTACGCAACTACAACGCCCCCCGCCCCGCCGCCAAAGCAACAGCAAAGAACCGATGAGCCAAAGCCCACCCCAGCCATGATACCTCTCAGCCACCACCACCACCACCACCAGCAGCAGCACCACCAGCAGCACCACCAGCACCAGTAGCACCGCCGGCACCTGCATCGGGGAAAGCCAGTGAACGCAACGCCGCGCACAACGTCATGTACCATTCGGATGTCAAACACCAAAAAAAATGCTGACAACAGCAATGATCCACCCCCACTTTATGTCGCTCTCAAGAGAGTTGTTGTCGTTTTGTTATGGCTATACACGAAAGTTATTGTCGCTAAACTGGTACAAAAACACCGCTCGGTGAATGTCAGATAAAAGGTGTTGGGCTGGGGCGATCGTTGACGAGCATGGCGGCGACCGGGGGGCTGTCGGATTACGAGGCCGCACGGCTGCAGACGGTGCGGGAGAACCAGGCCAAGCTGGTGGAACTGGGCCTATTGGATGCGCTTCCCGAACCTGTGCCGAAGCGTAGCAAAGGGAATGCGCGTGCAGCCCACCACAAGGAGCCTCGCGACACCACTGCTGGCGCGATCGAGCCGTCGGCGCCCGCTGTTCCGCTACGTCGCTCCGCACGCTTGGCAGGCGTGCCCTCTGTAGACTACCGGGAACGCCAGCTGGCTGATGGGACTTCTCAGCATGAAACTCGGCGTCGTAGCCTCCGGCTAGCAAGTAGCTCTGCTTTGGACAGTCAAGCGGACCAGTCGGCCTTTTGGACGGCGAAGCACGATGAACGGAGTGAGCGGAATGAAGGAGATGCGAAACCGGTATTCACGGCAACGACCGTAAAATCAGAGGATCACGCTCGTTCTCGATCCGAGCCTGCTTCCCATGGCAAGTCCACGTCTTGTCGCTTTCTGACTGCACGCGTGGATCACATGCTACACACCTACTTGGGCCGTCATATCCCAAAGCTCGGAGGCCAAGTACGTGTCAGCTCTTGCTTGAGTCGCATGCAACTATCAATCATACGACGCCGTGTCGCTGCAAACGGCTAATTTATACGTGCTTGGTCGATTGGACTTTGTCCCGGCTGCTTCCCTGTGCCCGTTCTTCTCAGGTCAAGCGGGCAGTCATGAATGCAGCCTGCAGCTCTGGCACGCCCACCTTCAATCGCATGAGTGGCATCCAGGAGTGGCACAACGCTGTCTTCCTTTTTATTAACGTGTCGATGGACGGGTATGACTTGCCACTGACAGGCATTTGCTCCAGATGGGGACGGGAGTAGGACCAGCGGCTGGCGTCCGTCTCAACCCCCTTCATTTTAAAACTGCGGTTCATCCACGCCCTAGATATAACAATGTTTTTCTCAATCAGCAGACCGAGGTGACCTGGTTTGCACAGCCTACCCAGGTAGAAAGCCACGCCCCCAGCGATAGAGGCCTGCAGATGTGGTCTCTGGCCCGAGAACACCCTCGTTATTGTTCTCTCACCTCCTCCTCCTCCTCCTCCTGTGTCTTCCCTTGATGCATCCGGCTCGTGCCAGAAGCCGACGACGCGGGTTATCGCTCGATTGCTGGCTCAAGGGCACCACAATCCCTCTGGATCGCCAGCCTTGGTGGAAAATCTACCACCATTGGAAGGCGTGCTTCTTTTCTGTCGGCTGCCGGATCAACCCTATGTTTGCCTGGGCCGTCTTCAGCTGAAGCAGAGCGACACCAAAACCAGTCCCATGCGCTTCCTCTGGACTCTCCAGGACGGCCAAGCACTCGGGCAACATTCGGCGGCTGCGGAGGTCCTAGCCACCTCACAGGCAAGCACCAAGTTGGAGCAGGGGGACAAAGTGGTGGCATCTCCCACCTGAAGCGACGCCACGCCTTTTCCTCTAGTTGTAAGCATCGTGTTGTCGTGGCCCCCGACCGACGCTGATCAATTAAGAATAATTGACACATTCAAACACGACCAAGCACAGCCCAAGAGCTTTTGGCACCAAGCCCACAAACTCCAGGCTCATGCCTCTATGCCCTCAAGTCAGCCATCAACCAGTAGCCCGACCCCGACGTCCAAGCCCATCTCTGCCCGTCTCCACTCCTCTCCTTCATTTGTCAGCAAAACATCACTCTTTCGCATTTTTTTTTATTTTTTAGTGGTGGTGGTGCTTGATATTCCACATCAGCAGAGAGCCTGTGCCTTTGCCTGTGCCTTTGCCTTTGCCTTTGCCTGTGGCTGTGCCTCTGTCCCTTTGCCTGTGCCTGTGGCTGTGTCTGTGGCTGCACCTCGCCCCCGGACGCCTGACTGGTCACCTCATAGCCACTTGGTCTGTCTCTGCCTCTGGTCTTGACCACACTCTTACCTCCCAACCTGTCGCAGTTTTCCTGCTATTCCGCGGTTCGGCTTTGTATACCTTTCTTGAACTACCTGCCAAGCAAAAGGATCGCGAGAGCCTCGGCCGCGTCAGCGCGCGCCGCTGCGGGACAATACGGCCCAGCAGCAAGATGGCATACTCTGCAGCAGCCAACCTGAAACCACCTCCGGACGTGTCCGACCTGCATGACCCAGGCGAGAATATCGTCTACTTTGGCTATCTCATCAAGCGAGGCGGTTTTGTAAGTGTCGATTGGTTCAGCCCCAGATACGACCTGCTTGTCCTTTCGCGTGCATTCCAACAGCGGACCTGTCGGCTGATCTTCCTTAGAACAAAAACTGGCTGCGGCGATACTTTGAGCTAGATAACCAAGGTGACCGTGCCGACCAGCACATGATGCACGAGGACCCTGGCTCCATCTGCACCGCCATACTCAGCCTATTTGCTCGCCTCTTGTCCGTACCCAGGTTTGCTCAAGTACTTTAAAGATAAGGACAAAAGCTCCCCACTGGGCATTATCAACATCAACGACTGCGATGAAGCTTACCCAGCCTCCAATAGCGACACGCGCTGGCTCAACGTGAACGTTCCTGCGGGCACTCGCACCACCTGGTTCGTGCCCGAGTACAACCTCTTCTTGTGCCCCGCGCCCCCGGTGGCAGATTATTGTTTCTCAAATGGAGCTGACTTGCCGCTATTTCAACACAGTGCCTTTACCATTCAGTCACCCGGTCGGCTGTACTATCTGATTGCCGAATCCAAGCCCGAACGCAACGCCTGGTGTGACGAGGTCCGTCTGCACCACCGCTCCTGTCCTTGAGGCCTCTACCAGCATTGCCGGGCCCTTTAACGGCATCGGCGATGGGCACGGTGCCTGACCCATATTGGCGTGACGTTGGGTGTGGACGTTGTAGATCAACCGCATGCGCGATGATGGTGTCAAAGAGGAAGGCGCCCTGACACGCCTCAGCCTGTCCAGTAGGTCATGCGCTTCACACGTGTGGTGACATCACCTGACTGCTTTCTGTGCGAGCTTCGCGTCACAGCTGAGCTTGAAGCACATTCTACGCTCGTTCAGACTGGCCTCATCCCTTTTCGCCCCAATGCTAGCTCGGGAGGAAATGGCACAGGCCATGCAGGGCAAAGCTGTGCACTACGGGCACATGTACAAGCTGAGTGGCATGGTCAAGAACTGGAACCATCGCCTCTTTGTGCTGACGAATGAAGGTATCACGGTGGCTTCTCCATCCCGACAAGCGCTGCCCTGGGCTCAATGCTCGGCATGCATCACCTCGTTGTAGGCTATCTGATCTACTGCCGTGGCCCCAAGCACATGAGCAAGCCCTCGGGTGCCGTGGATCTCTGCTACGGTTGGTCCCACCTGCTCTTTCTCAACCTATACCAAAAGAGCTCTGTGCCAACAGAAAAAAACATTTCAACAACCGAGAAGGCAGGGCCCTGGCCTTTGCAAGCCATCCCAGCATCCGTTCGTCTGCGTGGTAATGCACATTCAAACCGCACATGGATACTGCTCCTCGCTTCTCCCTTTTCATGCTTGCAGTCACGGGGCTACTGTCCCCGGAGCAGTGTGCTTCGCAATTGCCAGCTCTACCACGAGGCTGCACGCCCGACTGTGCTTTGGGAATGAAAACGTCCAAGCGACAATTTTTGTTTGTTTGCCATACGGCGGAGGAGGCACAGCAGTGGTACGAGATGGTAAGCATGTTGGCTTTGAACAAGCGATATAACAACCTCTGGTGCAGGCGCCTGTCGCGCCGTTGTGGCTATGATGTAGAACCAGTCTCATCCCGGTGTCAACCTCAAACGATGGCTCTTACAGTTGGAACTAGCTTGCAGTTATGTTTCTTTCCAGTTTGGTCGCCAAGCTGTCCTCTCCAGCGAACCCGGTTAGCCCCCAACCTTTGCGATCTTTTTAGAGTTTGCAAAAGTTACTGCATGGAGCCCCTTAATGCGACCTCACGGCCCTTCCACATGCTCTGTTTGTGATGTGCGCATTAGATCCTGAAACCTGCTCTGAGATCTCCATCCTGTCCGAGTCCCTGGTCGATGCCAAAAATGCCATTGGGCTGCCCACGGGCGTGGGTGGTCACAAGGGCTCCGTGCGCAGCGTTTCAGGTTATTTTGAGGACGTCGGTGATCCTGACGATCAGGTCATGACACCCATGGGCGTCAAACGCTCTTTGGAAACATCGCCTTTGCCCTCTGATCAGAAACAGCAGGTCAGCACCATGCTTCAACACAAGTGCCTTTGCCAATCACAACCGGTCCGCCCTCACCTTGTGGGTGAGCGTCGCACTAGATCTTCAACTCGATGATGAACACGGCATTGGCTCCCAGTCGAGGCCGACTGCTGACACTCAACAGTGCTGCGGTATGTTCCCCGATGCCAGTCATTGTCGTCCTGGCCGCTTTGCGCCCGAG